TTTACGCTGTTCTGGTAAATGAGGAAGGAAAAAAGAAATAATTAAAGAATAATTAAGTAGTTCTGAGTAAATTCGTTAAGAAACATCAATCTCTTGTTATTTATTCTCAAATGAATAGCTAACATTAGTAGCCTGCAAATTTCTGTCTCTTTATCATTTTATGGAAATATTTTAATACAGTATACAGCTCAGAGAAAAAACCTCCATCAAAATCATCTATCCGAGCTACGAATCTTCTCCACCATCTCACAGTATATGGTCCTTTAAGTAACCCACTGTCTGATTTAATTAATATGTGATGAACTCGAAGTGTTGTGTTTCTCATAGAGGTCTAATAATTAAATCAATTAAAGTCATTTATATGATCCGCAATTTTAAAGTGACGAAAAAATTAGGGCTTTTGTAACTTAATATGTTTAGTGGGACCCTTCGTCGACGGACTCACCACTTTAGTGGCCTGAGATCTGACTTTAGTTTGATTGTATGAATGATTGTTGTCAAAATATGTCTTGTTTATCCTTGCATATAATTATCGACTTAACAGGATACGAGAATGGATTTTGAATATGTATATTTCATGCACTCATTATTGATTTGAACAGGCAGTCAACTAGACGAAACAAAGAAGAAAGAGCGAGGAATATTGGAGAAGGCACTTGAGTCAACTCCTGTTTAATCAAGCGTTGGTCAATATCTATAGTCCCACAAAAATACGTTACAGGCATGTGATGAATAGAATAAGAAGTGCACACATATACGCTCATATAAAAACAGTCAAGGTCGATAAGTGAATAATCAACAAGGTTACAACGTCAATCAATTAGAATGGACAAATTGACCTGTCCAGAAGCTAGTATATGTTATGTGGACTTGACATAGTAACCAACACATTAAATGTATCCTGAGTAGATTGTCAAAATAAACTATCATTCTAGTCAAAATTGAGATGTTCGCCAAATTATTCAATTCATTTATTCACAAATTTAGCTTGAAAAAAGAATCAATATGTAGCTTGTACCGTTTCGATTAAATATTGGTTCAAGGTAAGACATTTGTTTCATCTATACACTACCTAAATAAATGTTATAACATACGTAGCAAATCTATCATTTGGCAAATAGATAAAATTATTCAGCATTTTGTTTACTTCCAAAAAAGCTTCATAAATAGCGTTGCACTAAATGAAATCAACATTCAGATATTTCAAATCATTCAAGTGTATATTGAAAGCTTTATAGTTTAAGGTTTTTAGTTAACAAGCCTATAAAATTGAAAATGACAAGATGTACTTACCACTAGTCATTATATATATTTAGTTAACTGAGTTATGGAATTTTCATACATTGAACTCAGTTTACATATGTTTAGAAATCTGAAAGTTCAGGAGACTTCTCAACCTTTATTATTTTAGAGCAAATCAGGAAAACTTATTTAATGATATGTACTGGATGAAAGACTAAACATTCAAAAAAATACATAGTCGAAATTCAATGATTAGCCTCTTTTCAAATTTTAGTCTATTGAAAATAAAACAACTACAATCATGTAACTATTACTATCAACACACCTTGATTTCCAGCATGATTGAAACTTCCAGTTATGGCTTCCTTCTAGGATTTCAGCAGACAATCCAGGAAGAAAAATTTTAACATTATTATGGGGTATTCTCAGTGTCATTATAAATTAACTGAATTACAGCATAAATTGATAATGAGTATTGTATCTGAGAGAAATGCATACTAATCATATTTTTGATGTTACTTGATGAAGAACATTCAACAACATGCTCTGAAGAAAGATTTGATACTAGTTGCAAACCATCAGCAAGATAGATAAATAATATTTAAACGATTAACTTTGCTGTATGGTTGGAATTCCTTTGAATAGTTTTAAAGTCAAAATAATTTACACTTGCTTTTTCTTTCTATTAACGTACTCTAGTATAGTGGATATACATTAATTTATTAATAACCTAAGAAGTGACCAAAATTATGTTATTTTTTTAATCTGTAATCCGGTTTAGAAAATACGAAATCACTGAGATCCAGCTAAGGTTAACAGTAATGCATTGATTTCATATAAACATTATTACTCACAGAAAATTACATAAATTCGTTTAAGACTAAAAACAATGCTCAGTTGAATCATGAGTAATTATATAATATCGAGGCAATCCGCACAGGATGCACGTATACTAATAACAGACTGATCAATCGCAGTGCCAAACATCAATGGGAAGATTCAAGCAAACAATACGAAATGAATTAAAAATTCACCCCATTGCACAAGCAACTGCCTGTCAAGACTTAGCAGTTAAGTGGATAACGCAATGGCGTTTGAAGCGAATGGATTCATGTCCCAGAGTTGACATCAATTTTGAGATGCAGGTACATTCAGCTGACCAGTCCCAGATAGAACGCAACGCGTGTCCTGGATTCCACCGCTATCCACTATCCATCTTTGATTATAATGTATGAGTAATTATGTTGATAAATAGTCAATTTATATATATTTATACATAAATTATGCATAGATTAATAAACATTTTTGTAAAACATTGTTATTTACAGAATTAGTGTTCATTTTCTGTTCAAATTACATATAAATAAAACATATATATTTATCATATGTAATCATAATTTACATTCACTAAACTTGTCTGCACTTCATTCATTCACCCAGGGATAAAAAATAAACAAAACATTTTTTCTGTAAACCAAACACTTTATAATAAAATTTAATTTTATGTATTGGTTTTTTTTAATATTTTTACAAAGAAAGTTTCATTAATTTTACATATTGATTTATAAAAAGTGCACAAATGTTGATTTATTCAATCGATTTGTTTAAATTTCAGATTTTCAATTTGATTCAAAGTCCAATTACCATTTTTGTCATTTTATTGATTGTTTTCTTTTTTATAAATAATAACTAATCAGTATTGATGATTATTTGTTGGTATTCAGTGTAAAGTGTTAACGTACTTATCTTGTAAACACAATTATTTCGAGCCTATTTTTCGCCCGTTTACATCATATATATATATATATATATATATATATATATATATATATATAAGATGTTTCCCATAACTATAAAAAATATTAGCGATATAGTCATCCACTTCAAAAAACCTCGACAGCATCAGAAGCATCCAACTAAATTTCAAATAGTCTGTTTAACATATATATAATGATATAGATGTATTAACACTAAGGTATGTAGAGTAGATGTAGGTATTAATTAATTTTAAACTATTGACAAGTAGCATACAATCTAAGTGATAATTTCGATCCCTCAAGGAAAACATCTTGTAAAAAATGAAAAACTTTGTAAACGTAACAATTTAACGTACTTAAAACTAGGACTCTCGTTAAAGACAATCACTAAATAAACTACTTTCGAAGATATAATCTCAATAATATTTGCAAAGCTTTCTTCTTTGTCCCGTTAATTGATGTTACTATTCACAAGATAAGGATGAACTGGATTCAGTTACTTACTGATTGATGCAATGGCGTTTTAGGAGAAATGTAATGACTCCTAGTCTTAGTGCAAATATTGAAATTGAGATGAAAATACATGTAGCCAACGAGTTTTGGATTCCAATGCAAGGCAGTATGCGAATTTACTAACAAAATACTAATGCTTTAAATTACCAATCAAAGTATATTTTAGAATATACTTTTTGCAATTCGTTTTATCAGATAAATCATAATTTGAATATCATAATGTTCCTACCTGTTGCAGCAAATAATTACCGAATAATAATTAAAATGAAGCTCATTTGCAACGAATTTGAGTTGCTTTTGTGTCATTAGTGTACGGTTTTAACTATTCATTAGTTAGTCATGAGGTTGGTCCAGTTAAGAAAAGGGTTGTGCACAGTTTATTGCACATATAGATCTAGTTTCTAATCTCAATGACTACTGTTTTTGCTGATTGAAGGATTTTGCGTCTAATTGACATAGGCAAAAAATTAACTATCTGATAAATTATTGAAAATAGTTGAATTATGCTGGCACTATGAACAGTTTCGCTAAATAGGTTAGTATTGAACTGTTTATTGTCCTGACTACATATTTAACAGTATATATTGGTCATTCAATATCAACAAATTTGCTTTATTTTACGAGCAGTACTCAACTAAAATGCGATAATTTATATGACACATTTGTTTTATTGATTCTATTACATAACTTAGGAACCCGAAGAGAACTGAGTAAAAAGAATGTTCTTTGTTCAATAGATTCTTGTTGGATATCCTTACAAAATAAACAAAAGTGATGATTACCTCATAATAACGACGATCATGTGATTATTAGTGACTAATTTTGAAAAGTAATTCTAGGAGTTATAAGGAGAGAAACCCAGATCAGGGGAGTTCACTTACAACAGATTTGAAAGAGTTACCCACCAATGAAATTCGAAAACAGTTAGATAAACTCGCAAGTTGCTTGAAGTTAGATAATATAGATGACTGAGTTTCGGCTCAATGGTCTAAGCATCAATTGTTACTGAGAATCTTAAAATGTCCTAGTTTTCGTTACCTTTAGGGTTATGGATGCACAATGGTCAATAATATCATACTTCGATAAAACAGCTGGCCATGGCCTTGTCGTTTTTAGTGGTAGTTCACCTGAGATCATTATATAATGTAATTCGTAAACTTCAACAGTCTCCGCAAACCCCTAGTGTAATAATAACTATTGACATCTACAGATATTAGCCCATTACCCTCACAAATAAATTACAAAAACAAAGACAATCCCAAATTGTTTTCAACAGCTATACAACTTTATTCTTCATTGTTCTGTTTTGATTACGTGTTCGGATTTCCTAATTTACTTAATGTGACACTAAATCCTCCAGTCGTTTAAATAGTTTCATAATATAGTTTTTTTTTAATCCAAGACATGACATTTATTTGATCAAATTTTTTCATCATTGCAAAACAAAACGTATGAACACTAAAAAATACTCTTTGTATATTCACTTACTCGGTTCGTAACTCCATTGATTCAATGTATCAAGTATTTCCAGTTTTTTTACTTGATTTCATACATATATTTGTGTTGATTTTTGGGAACTGATCTTTTGATTAAATAATTTGAAATAATCTCCTGGATGAAATATGTTTAACAGCTAATAAAAGACTTTTCAAACATAATATAAGTAGTTTAGTTTAATATGAGTTAACACTATAATATCGATTTTCAAAGTATTTAATTAAACATTACATATATATATATATATATATATACATGCATATATATATGAGTACTAATTATACAGCATTGGCTCATGTCTTAATTGTATTATCCCATCAAATCTTAGAGACAGAATAAATCTAATAATACTGATTAAAAAAATTGTGTCTTTTTTATTTGTTTAGAAAATGAATTCAAAAACCACTTGATTGTGATTAGTTGTCTGAATTATAAATTTGATAAAAATTGTTCTTCAGATATTAAGAACAACCCATTGTGTCTTTGAATCAAAATAGAACAAAGTAAAGAAAAAGTTTTTTTCTGACGAAAAATTTTTGTAGAAAAATTTATTTCCGTTTGAATTAATTCTAATGTTAAATCATCATAATAGGATTTCTGTATTTGGAATTAATTAACCAATCAGAGTAATAAAAATTTTCTTCAATTTGATTGGATGAACACCAGCCTCCAATAAATAAACATTTACATAATTAACTTATTATAAATAACATATTTCACTAAGACACGGAAATGTTGTATTGTTTATCCTTGTGGATGATACTTTTTGTGCATAGGTTAATGACAGTCCATATTTCATTTATGAAATGGATAGTTTACACTGTCAAGTCAGTGTGGATGATATGTTATGGCTGTTCAGTAAATATCTGGCAACAATAAATATAATTCAACTTGATAAGATAAAAGATTTTTTTATTTTGGGTCGACATTTGGCTACGGATTTGTAATAAACCCAACACTATTTGTTTATATTGTGGGTAGGTGGGATATATTTAGCGATTTTCTTAGATATTATCAGTATAGGAGTGTGGAGATTGTTAAGTTTAGATTGATATCATGTATGGATCAATGTTAGACTACCACTGAAAACCTGAAAGCACTGCACGGCCGCTTCCTTATATTATGGGACTCCTTAGAAGTGAGCAATAACTTTAACCTGAAGAATTATTTAGTACATTACATTTAGGCACAAAATCGTCAAAAAGTATCGAATGCGTTACAAAATCACGGCTAAAACAAAAGCTTCATTTTGTCAACATTAAACAGATCATTACATTAAGGTAGAAAACAGTAAACTCAAAATTGACTGATAACTTAGTAATAACTTATGCCATGTTTGGGTAGTTCTTTCGGTGCCGACTGAGTTCCACTGAACAATTTACAAGCCGGACTCTAGTCTAAACATCTCGACATTATGTGCGCTATATTAATATATTAGGTGGTTGTAAGTAGTTGATAAACAACCTTAATCCAGGGTTACGTGCAAGCTCACACCAGACAGAAATTTTTCCTGTAGTCTTAGGAGTACTAATGCTCCTTGTCAGATGAGAGCCTACGTATCAGTCCTACAGGTTGTCAAAATAGCTCAGTGGTTACGTGTTAGACAGTGAACCCGAGTGACGAATGTTTAAATTTCACAGGAATTATGTGTTTCATCATGAATGAATGTATATCGTCTTAATTAGTGGATACTAAGATGAAACTTCAGTCTATGCTTTTTATTCAACTACTTCCAATAAATTTGCTACCGTTTATTTGTTAATAAGATAATAATGGAAAATTCTACAATATACCCTGATTCCACTATATTAAAAATCCCATCTTCATACTTTGTCCAAATTTCTTCAAACAAGCAGTGGAAGTACATAAATACAACACTTATTAATTTTTATTGAGATCTTGAACCGATCAATGTTAGACCACCATTGGAAACATAGAAACACTAGAATGGGACTCCTTAGTAGTGCTAGATTCCATCTTCCCGTTGATGTTAAAGCTTGCAATTAATCAATCTGTCTTAAAACCATCACTGAGATACACCCACTTCACAATAACGATTTTCAGATAAAACGAAACATAAGGTTTGGATTGCACTGTTAAACACTGAAGAGCTTCACTAAAACGTTTATAGCTTAATTTAGCAAATCTGCCCAATTAAAGATTATTCTGCAGCTAAATACAACTAATTTCCTATCCATGAATATTTTTCACAACAATTATTAAATTGAGATTGTTCTTTGAATCTGAAAACCAAAGCGTCTAATTAGTTTATAAATTATGTTTATTCCGATAAACACAATCATAAAATCTATTAATGTTCCTTTTACACCAAACACTGAGCATTTCTCATTTTAGTATATTCAATTAATTGGCGAGGAATCAAATCAATGAAAGATACAATCAATATAAAGAAGTATCCAATAACAAGTCAAAAGTCAACAATAAACAATCAAGATCGAGGTCGACAGGACAAGCTGTGAGTCATAGGTGGAGGAATTAAAACATCTCAATTTTACATAAAAATTGCGTTGATGATGTTGTTCAGAGGAACAACTAAATCTCCACTACCAAACCATCCAACTCAGAGTACAAAACTTCACTGAAAACTTATTTTTACTGTAGTACATTTTAAATGTAAATAAATGCTTTTCTTCTCACATGCAATTACTAATTTTGATTATGAAATAAACTAACCACTTAATGTAAAAAGAATTTTATTCTTGAAAAATTCCAATTCACTGCAAACTACATGAATTCATTAAAATTCAGCTTTAAATGAATATGGACACTTCAGTCAGACAATATTATTAATGAAGTGTGTTAGATGACTTGATGAAAGATTTTAGAGACTTTATTATTAAAATATAAAAAGTGAAAAACTCCCGTTATATTTATAAATAGAGATGGATGATGCCTAACAGTGAAATCTGGAATGCGCATTTTGTCCCTATTGGAACTCGTCAGATGGAGGTACCTCCATCCCAGAATCGATGTTCACTCAGGGACTCGAACCCACATATATTTTCATACATATATTGCACTATTAAATTTCACCTAAACCAAAATCGTGAAGGGTTTTTACTCTGAAGCAAATTGACTCGATAAGTATTTCTAAAATATAGAGCTTTCTCGTGCAAGTTAAGCCAAATATTTAGAGAATGGTAATAAGTGCTATGTAAACAGCTGGACATTGTAAAAATTATAACAAGTCAATTAAAGCACATATTTTGTAGAACTATGAGATCAAAATTTTTAATGTCAAACTGTGTATACCTGCAAGTGTAAGGGTACATCGACCTATCCTGAGTATCAAACAAATTGTTAACCTCTACTTCGAACCATCCCTCAATTTGACAAATGAATAGGCATCACCAAAAAAATTTTAAATAACTGTTCCTTGTTTTATTTAAAATGCTTAGTAATGTCGTAGATTTAACTACCATTTCATCCAGAAAACGAGCACATACATAGGTCAATATAACTCATTTGATGCCAGACCTTCATCGAAAGATTTTATAATACAGAAGTGTATTTCATTAACTGATCTTATTAAGAAATATTTAAAAACCAGGGAGCTTCACTTATAACTAACTAAATAGTTAAATCTATGAAATTGAGATGTTTTACATGCTTACAATAAACACCTATACGTCACTTCGCATATAATTTTGAACTCTATGTGGTGTATTTCACAGTTTGTTTTACTTGGTTTCCTCCAAGAACTGTAACAAATTGTAGTGAATAGTGCTATGTCAAGCACACATAAGTTATTTTAGTTTCTAAACTGGTCAATTTGTTCATTCTTCTCAAGCCATATTTTGATATTGTCAGTTGTTCGCTTATTAACATTGACTGGTTTTATGTGATCGTATGTGGCGTTAATTGCTAACCCTATTCATCACGTGTCTGTAACCTATTTTTGTCTGAATATAAATATTGAGTTACTCTTGGTTAAATCGAATTGGCTCGTTTGCCTTCTCCACTGAACGTCACTTTGTTTCATTTCACTACGCTTTGCTTGCTTGCTGTGCCTCCCTGATTGTCTGTCCAGACCAATTATTGCATGAGATATGTGTATTATAAACTCATTTTCGTATTTCGCTTATTTCAATCCATTATTATCCAACGCGAATTAAGTCGATAGAAATATACAAGGATTGGCGGCATGTATACTTCGACAACAATCAACATACGACCTAACTGAATTCAGATATCGATCCTTAAAAGTGATTAGCTCGACGTGCAAACGCGACGCAATTTTCCACTCTCCGATCTAATTAGAATCAAATTAAATGGCTACAAAAAATCATTTAAATTTACTAATAAGTCAATAACATAAAAACTTAGATCAAATAATCAGCGTAGAGGTTGTGAAGATTAGTAAGTTTCTGATTGAGATCATGAAGCGATTGATGTTAGACCACTGTTAGAAACCTGAAAGCACTGGATGGCCGTTTCGTCCTATTGTGGGACTCCCCAGCAGTGCGCATCCATGATCCCTCTGGCGGGATTCGAACCCATGGCCATCAGTCTCGCGCGCGAACGCTTAACCTACTGCACACAGATACATTTGAGTATTACATTGTAATGAAATATATATGAAATGAAATCACATCTTTTTTGTTACCCTTAAAAATCCAGTCTATTATTTCTTCGAATATTAATATTGAAGTGAAATAATAATTGGTAGAAGTTTGTGTTAAAGTTAACCAATTTACATTTAATATTCTAAACAAGAAAAACATAATTAGATCTGAACATGCTGTTAGTATTATGTAAACTTTTTTTCAAAAAACATTAATAAACTGTTACTGTTTATCCTGCAATATAATTAGTTAGACAAAACATTTAGTATAAATTCATGGAAATTAATTCTCATAAAAATATCTATCATTCAGTCATTTCTCTCAGTGTTGTGAAGTTGATTTTAGGTATCAAAACTGCATCTTAGTATCTTAATAGTTGGATTCATGGGTCAATTGAAGCTAGAACACCATGGAAAATCTGAAGGTACTGGACGTCTGCTTCGTCTAAGTATGAGACTTCTTAGCATCGCGCATCCTCAATAATAATCATCATGTGCTCACTAGTGACTGTCTTCAAGAGGTATTTGCTGGAGTCCTAGTAAGAAGCCGTGACCAGTGGAGTCCAACCAGGTCTGTTATGAAACAGTAGCTTACTGAAGACAATGGCGGACGGTGGC